CTGTGCTGCCTACACGAGGTGCCGGACTGGCTCTCTTAAGTGCTGCAGCCCATGAGGGGCTGGCCCAGCTCTCCTGCTCTCTTGACCCTGGGGTCTTGTCTGCATCAAATGGTGAGGGGTGAGGGGGGCATCTCTCCCTGGGCTGTGCCACCAAATGACAGACAAGTCGTGGGGCAAGCTCTGCCATGCTCACATTCTCCAGGCTGGTTCCCATCGGTAGAGCCAGCTTTACTATGGTGTCCAGGAGAGGTGCAAGGCCCACTCTCTGCGCAGTCCTGTCCTCTTGGACTTTTGTGGTAGCAGGAGCCATGGACATCAACACAGACCACAGCTGTGGCTGGGTCAGGACCCAGACATGGCCCTTGGCAGCACCCCAGGCCAGGATATCACCATGGCCCCAGGGGGCAAGCAGGTCACCCACCTCAGCCACCTCCTCACCACCTTCACCTATTCAGATCTGCCTTTCTGCACAGGGCACGAACCATTCTGCCCCTGCCCTCCCTCATACCCCACCATGTATTTACTCACCACAATGGTGCCCTAGGCAGGCTTGTGGATCTTCTCCTTCTCAATCCTTACAGTGCCAAGCAGGCTCCTGTTCTCCCTGCCACCCCCCTGCCACCCTACCGGTTTCCTGGATTTAAGGGATTTATTCATTTCCTCTTTTTAAGAACCTCTATCCTATCCATACAGGCTGTTTTAGGGCCTTTTCCTTCTGCTTCAGCTATATTGGAATATTCAGAGCCTGCTGTGGTAGGATTGCTGTGATCTAGTGGAAACTGTACTGGTTATTACCAATTTTATTTCTGTGTTGGCATCTGGGCATCTGGGATTGGGAAGCTTATAGCTCTAGGTGATGATCCCTGATTTTTTTTTCTTTGTTGGGTGAGTGCTTTGTTCCTTGGTTTATTTCTTTGATTATTTTAGGAGAGTGTGTTGCTTGGAAGATTTTTTGTGGACCTGATAGGTGTGGCCACTGGGTGTTCCAGGCACAATGTGTTTCTGGATCTTGGGAGCTGAGACTTAGGACTGGGGATAGTAGAGGGGCTGGAGGGGCTTCACAAGAGGGAGGAAAGCAGAGCATTCAACCAGGGTCTGTTTATTTAGTCTTCTGGGGATGGGAGTAGACAGCGAAGAGACGCCACTCCAGAAGATCTGCTGTAGAGCCAGGGATGAGACTGGGGGATTGGATCTGGAGAAACAGAAGGAGAGGTGGAGATCTACAGTCGGCCGCCCTGCTTCCCTGGCAGAAGTGTGTGGGTTAGCTTGAAGTGCCTGCTGGGGATGGGGGGTTGGGAGATCTGAGGAGGAGGAGGAGGAGGAGGAGGAGGAGGAAGAGGAGGGCTGCGGGATCCACAGGAAGTATGGGCAGCGGAGGAAGGCTGCAGCAGGTATTTTGAGACTGGGGGACTGGGTGTGGAGGAGAGGACTGAGCGGTGAAGGTCTGCCATTAGCTGGCTTGTTTCCCTGTTCTGCTCAGCTGGAGTGTCCACAGCGGATGCCTGCTGGTGTTGGAAGCTGGGATAATGGGACACGTTGGGGGAAGCAGGTTGGAGGTCTTTCTGATCCATTGGGGATGGGGTCAGAGAGGAAAGGGAGACCACGGCAGGTGTTCCACTACAGAGCCGGTGACAGGGACTGGATTTGAAGGAGCAGGAGAGGTGCAGTCAGTCTACCTACTTCCCTGGCAGGAGGCTGACCGAAGCAATTATAAAAGAAATAGCTTTATTTGGTTGTACGGTTTTGGAGAGCTAAAGTCCATGAGGAGTGAGCATCAGGAACAGCTACGAGCCGGCACCTCCGACTGCAAGTAGGAGACAGAGAGAGAATGCTGGGAATGCCTGGAGTCTTTTGAAACCTCAAAGTCAACCCCAGAGTGGCACACTTCCTCCAACAAGGTTCCCAAACAGTTCCACCAAGTATTTAGACATGTGACCCATTTTTATTCAAATCGCCACATATTACAACTTTCTCTTCTTGATTTATGACCTCAATATGTAGTTCAAGCTGGTTTCAAATCTGCAATCCTCCTGCCTGTGCTTCCTGAATGTTGGGATTACAGGTGTGTGCCACCACATCTGTCCTTATGGTGGGTTTAAACAAAGCCGGGCTTACTAAACATGAGGAACAAGCAATCCTAGTCCCGTTGGTTTGATTTGGGACTCTTATTTCCCCTTTTCCAAACTTCACAATTTATTTTGAGAAGAACACATTTTTTTGGAAATAATAATATTTATAAACCAGACAATTATGCCACAACACAGGAAAATATAGTTAAAATTAGCTCTAGGGCAAAAGGCTTATTAAAAAGCATCTAATTTGGGGCTGGCAAGATGGCTCCGTTGGGTAAAGGCACTTGCCCCCAAGCCTGGCAACTTGAGTTCCATTTCTGGAACCTACATGGTGGGAAGAGAGAATTGACCCTTGACTGTTCTCTGAATTCTAAATGCATGCTACAACGTGTCTCCTCCCTTCCTTCCTCTCCTCCCCTCAAACACACATACAGTAAATGGAAATATTTTTAAGTGTATAATCTGATTTGTGAGGGCACTGATGTCAGCTAAGTTTTACTTTCCTTCAAACTCAATTTCCTATCTAGATTTACCTAGGACTGTTAGAAATGCCTCACGTTTGGGTATTCCACCCAGAGAACTGTTCTCGCGTGTGTGAAATGCACAGACAGGGTCTCGGGGAGATTAGCTGGCCATTCCGGGTGACCAGACTGACCCCACTCTGACGGTGCTCCAGGACTCTAGAACCCTCTCAGCATTGCTAGTCTCCTGAATTCCTAAACACCAAGGTTTCACGAAGGTTCACATGGAGTGGGTGTCATTGGAGCCTCTCCACTGTGGTCCATGTGTGAACGTTGTGGGGAACACGGGCAAAATCAAGGATCCTAGCCAGAAGGCTTCCTTGACAGGTGTGCTGAGAACAGTTTAAATGAGGACCAGGAAGATGGATTTGTCACAGTGATAAAGCACCCTTGAGAGCTAGCGGACAGTCATGAAAGAATCTCAAACAACTGTCACAGCACCTGGATTGTTATTTTTAAAGGGTCTTTGTTGGTTCTCAAATGTCACAAAACATTCCTGCTTTGTTATTCTGTCATGTCTCCTTTCTTTCTAGAATGGGGGCGGGGTGGGGGGGAGGCGGGCTTCAGGCCCAGCAGGTTTCTGCAGGCAGAAGTCATAGCATTAAGGTGAATCCCAAAGGTGCTTGCTAGTGGCCTCCTAAGCTAAGTCCTTCTAATCGGCTCCCACTGTCTTGTCAACACAATTCAGTTTTCCCAAGTGCAGCGAGTGGACTCAAGTACCAGAAACAGAAGGTGTCTCACTGAAAACAGCCTCCACGAGGGACAGAGTGTTCCCTAATCGATTAGAGAGGGCCTTTGTCGTGCTTCTACGGACATGGCTTTCAGGGCTAAGAACCAAGTTTGTTATAGTTCTGTGCATGGGCTCACATCCACGCTGGCTTTAAACTGAGCAGGTAATTAGTTACAACATCGATATCGAGACCATTTTAAGATTCTCAACTGCGTTTACCCTTTTCCAGAAAACCCGTTTAATATTCCACAGGCCATCATTAAGATTCTCCTGGGGAAGTGATGGTGGACCAGCTGACGTCGGTCAAAATACCCGGTGACTGGGAAAGGTAAGTTAAGGAGAGGGGCACGAAGGACATACCTGAATTTGAATTTCCTGACTTACGTTTGAGATGGGAACTCAAGCACACGAGCTCTCAACCACCCCTACAGCCTCTGCTCCGAGTAGCTGGCATTGCAAGTTCCATCTTTTCATGAATTTCGCAACACATCTTTTTATGCGGTTTTAAGAGCTGGCAACTTCACATCTCTTTATAGGTATTGGAGTATCATCTTACCTTTCTGTTAGCAAAGCCACAATTACTTTACTTTAAACTAACAACTCTTTGGGGAACAATTAGCAAGGAAAAGGAACCGCGAGCTACTTCGCTACCAGCAGGTGGCAGAGCCTCAAAGACCTGGAAGAAAGCCGGCGCGCACCAGAACGCTGTCAGGTGCCCCATGTTCAGGGTGGCCGCCACTCTGCTGTGGCTCTGAGGACAGCGGGGAGGTCGCGTCTGTCTGTCCGTCCATCTTCAGGCTGTGTGGCTGAGTCTCAGCGGCCCCGAGAAGAGCACTGGCTCGGGACGGGCGGGGGCTGAGCCGGGGACCCCGACTCCTGGGCGGAGGCGCCCAGGATAGCACCCGCGGACTCGGGCTGCCGTCTGCGGGGACCGAAGGCGGCACGCTTCGCGCGCGTCGGGGCCCCAATCCTGATTTTCATTTCGCTCCAGGCTCAGAGCACTAAGTAGGCTCCAAACCGCACAAACAGGAAGGAGGGAGGGCCGGGAGTGCGGGCAGAGGGCGGTTCGTTCCCAGCAGCGCGGGCGGTCCCTCCCTTCTCGGGTCCCCGACCCACGGGGTCGGGGCGGGGCGTGCGCGTCAGCTGGGGCTAGAAAAGGCGGCGGCCCGGTCCGGCGAGGTGACAGCCCAACTCGGACTCCAGGCCGGGCCGACGCCGCCATGAGCGCCGCGCTTTTCAGCCTGGACAGCCCCGCGCGCGGCGCAGCCTGGCCCA